AAAATAAGCAGATATTACTCTTACTTTTAGTATTTTGAACTCTAAATTTTAATAACGGTAAAATAGTTAAGTCTCTTGGAAAAAAAATAGTTAATTGTCTTGGAAAAAATAGTTAATAGGGTAGACTATAGATTTATGTATTTGACGGATAAGGTACTTTATTACGAACCCTTGATTAATTAATTAATGCCACATTGACCAAGCTGACTTTTCTTTTCAAGGACAAGAAAGGAAAATATGAACTACATTGACTATTAATTTTTCCTAAAAAGCTGTTGAACCCATTCCAAAAATTCCGGTTTGATAATAAATTATGCCAATTTGCAGCTAATTAGAGAAACTTTGTTCTTTATACTCCACTTTTGGCCTTGAAACGTGGAATATATTTTAAAATATTAATGACAATAAAATATTTAAGGAAGTAACATTTAAAAATCCCAGTCAAATGATCTTTGTTAACATAATCCTAAACAGGGGGGTCCTTAAACATATTTTGAAACAGATCCATAGATTTAAGGAATGGCACGACGTGCTATTGCTCTAATTAGTTGCTTTAATCTAACTTTTGCACAAAGAATGATATAGTGCTATAAAATGATTAATTTAGTTTGTCTGATAAATGCCATATTTTAACTTATAGTGCCTTTGGCTAAATTTTCAAAATTTGTTCATTTTTAAAAAATATATTTTTGTCAAAAGTACTACTCGAAGAAATACTTTTGAAAAGTAGCAATTTGTGTTTTTTCAATCAAGTTTTAAAAGTATTTTTGTCAACTGGAAGAGTAATTTGTGCTTGGAAGTTTCAAAAGTGCTTCTGGCTGGAAAAAAATTTATTTTTTCGACTTTTGAAAAGCAACTTCTGATAGTACTCAAAAGTACTTATATTTTTGTCCTAAAAGCGAGGCCAAACACCTCAAATCTTTAAAATAGACATTTTTTTTGATAAAAAAAGACTTTTGACTTGCTAAAAGTTTGGCCAAACATGCTATTACATTACATGTTGTTTTAGTTAATATCAGATGTTTAATTATCAGAAAGATGATCAACATCTTATACACAACATTAATTGTTTTAGCATGTATATACATAACAACAACAACCCAGTAAAATTTTACAAGTGAGGTCTGAAAAGGATAGAGTGTACGCAGACCTTACCCCTACTCCGAAGAAGTAGATAAGGCTTTTTCGGAAAACCCTTGGCTTGTATATACATAACATCTGTCATAATTATATAATTTCTACATCCTAAAGCAATGCCCGCCGAAAGAAGATGTATATCCGAGCAAGTTAAGGGCATAAAGGAGTACTAAGAATAGGATAAAGTAGGTAAAAAAATTTAATCATGTGTTTATACTAACTCAATAAATATATGACACTTGTTTTCACATACATTATTATTAGATCATAGTTAATCAATACATATTATCACCTTTATTTTATGATTTAATTATGATAAATTAGCATAATTTGATTATAAATATCGGATATCTAATTTTTTACCGGATAAACTAATTTGTGAAAATAATTAGGAAAAAATTGCATCTTGAAGAGTACTGTACAAGAGATGCAACTGTTTGTATCTAAAGGGCCGTTTGGCCAAAAGTTTTTTTTCAATTTTTTTTTTTTTTGAAATCAGTGTTTGGCTATTTCAATTTTCACTTGAAAATGAATTTCGGAATTTTTGAAAAATTAAAAAATTCCAAAAAATTATTTTTCATTTTCATTTCAAATCATTCACAAAAATTCAAAAATAACCCAAAATTGTATTTATGTCCAAACACAACTCTAATTTTTAAATATCATTTTCACTTAATTTTTTTTTCCGAAATTTCTAATTCTTATGTCCAAATGCCCACTAAATATGTAAGTTCTTTTTTATAAAGTGAAATGTCTTTCATAACAAATATTAAGAAAGAAGGAATACGAAGGAGATAAATGATAAGCATAATGTAGCCTTTACAAGGACAATTCATGTATTTCATTATTCAGATACACTTTATCAATAATAACCCATGTGTGCAGGTCCATTATTTCATCATACAAGCTATAAAAGAAATAAATGCCTATTGATAGGCAAGATTCATGTAATTTGACGACTGTTTATGCCCCAACTTGACGATGTTTTACTGTTCTAGGATAGTTAAATGACGGTAAATTGGCTCTAATTGTGAATTTCATGTTTTGCAGGAGTGAGTTGCGCTTATGAGGACTTAGGACTGTGCTTGGAGCTAAATTGAAGCAAGGGAAGCCCCTCGGAGCTGAGTACGTTGAAAGAAGAGAGAAAAGAAGAGCTGGAATGATGATCCAGCTTAGCGCGGCCATTAGCGCGCCCACTAGCGCGACCACGCTAGCCCAGGAAATCGAGGCAGAATACTATGCCATATGCGTGGTCATTAGCGCGACCGCGCTAGTCCAGTTCGGAACATATAATTCAGGGATAAACTTAGAAGTTCGGGGGTAATTCCACTTAACCTATAAGAGGTCCAGCTCGCCCAAAGGGACATTATCAAGGTTTTTACAGCTTAGTTGAAGGCAAGGAGATGCAAGAGGCAAGGAGGATAATTCAACATCGAGTTCTTCCTTTTGTATTTTACCATTTATGATGAATTTTGCTATTGTTATGATGAACAAGATTATGAGTAGCTAAATATTTAGTCTAAGATTTTGATGGAACCTATTGAAGGATGAACTTCATGTTATGTTAATATAGTTTGCCCGATTTAATCTCTATTTGTTCAACTACATTCTTGTTGTAGTTAATTGATAGGATCATCAATTAGTTGTACCTATTTAGTATGTATTACTCGGGAGAGAGTGCATATTTAGGTAATTGTTGAACAACACCACTCCTAAAGTATATGAGGAATCAATAACCGAGGGTTTAAAGGCGGGATTAGGGATAACGAAGCCTTGGGTGCGATCTAAAGTGAGCTGTAATAAAAGTCAGCTGGTGTAACTCGGGAGAGTGCGTCTAGTAAATTATCGTAATTACTCGGGAGATATTTACGGTAGTAAGAGTGCTCATGATCGATAGAGACGATTAGGCAATTCTATGCGAAATATAACCGGAAGGGATTCCATCAATAGGAAAAATCATAACCTTAAATCCTTCTCTTATTTGCTTACAAATCAATCACAATTAGCTGTTAGTTTACTTGCTTTTATTCAGTTATAGTTAGTTAAAACATCACCAATTGTTATTCAAAATATCTGGGAAGTTGATTACAAAGAATTTAGTGAGTCTAACAAAAGTAATTGGTAGGTTAATTCTCTGAGGATTCGATTCTGGGCTAAATACTCGGATTATATTTGCAGCGACCGCTTTGTCCTTTTTATAAGGCATAGTTGGGCGTGATCAAATTTGGGCGCCGTTGCCGGAGAATTAACGGTGTTATCAATTACAGTTGAAAGAAATCCAAAAATTCTTAGTGTAGTCGGTTTTCTTTATTTTCAATCTATACATTGAAATTTTAACGTTTGTTGACTTGGTTGTACAGGTGCATGCCTAGAAACTCATCGAGAACTAGTGAAGTATTTGAAGCATTATCAGATCCTGAAAAAAAATTCAAGGCCTTGAATCGGGCCAACCGGAAAAACAAATAACAACAATCAACTAAACAACTCGAACCAGACATGGGGGATAATGTGTTAGACCCAGTTGCGCCATTGGCGCCAATGCTACCTCTTGTGCCAGAGGTTGCGCTATATGACTAGGCACAACCCACAACAAAGAACTTGGCCACAACGATTTTAGTCCCGCAGATACAGGCCGAGTCGTTTCAAATTACGAACAACATGTTGCACTTGTTGCAAAACAAGGCACTATTTTCGGGGTCATACATTGAAGATCCTCAACAGCACTTAAAGAATTTCATGTCAATCTGCAAAATTCAAAGGCAGCCCAACGTAACTCAGGAAGCAATAAAGCTGTTGTTGTTTCCATTCTCAGTGATAGGAGCTGCCCAGACTTGGCTAAATTCGCTCCCCATTAACTCCATCACGACGTGGGAGGAGTTAGTCAAGAAATTCGTGAGTAAGTTTCATCCATCCAACAAGACTGCTCAGCAAATTGATGAAATTTTGAGCTTCAAACAGAAATCAATGGAGACACTGCAAGAAATGTGGGAACGATTCAAAGGGATGTTGGTTATATGTCCGCACCACGGTATTCCAGATCAGATGTTGGGGCAGCAGGTTTACATGGGTTTGACAGATAGCGTGAAGGCTAATGTTGATACTTCAGCTGATGGAGCATTCTTGAGCAAAACATGGAGAGAAAGCCAGAGCCTGCTTGACAAGTTGGCACGGAATTCGGGGTGGACAACCAGGAATGCACCTATCACTATAGTTCACTCAGTGCCCTTAAATCCATCCAACACTCTTGCTGAAAATATGGCCACATTAGTGACACAAATGAGTATACTCACCAAAAAGGTGGAAGAGTCAGGGCAGAAGCAGCAGGTACTCATTGTAGATACTACCAATAGGGGCTTATGCACATCTTGCATTAGTAGGCCAATTGGTAACTAATGGAATGTAGAAAATGAGCATCATTGTTACCCTGAGGACATAAATTATGTGTCTAATTATGGGGGCCTGAGACAGGGTGGTCAAAATTGGGGCCAACAGAATCAGCCATACAGGTCAGTCCAGCCACAACTCAACAATGGAAATATAGAAGGTGTGCGACCTCACAATAATATGGCACCTTACCAAAGGCCACAGGGATACAACAATCAAAATCAGCAGCAGGGTTATCATCCTCTTCAGCAGCAGCATGGGGGAAGACAGGAAGATGAGTTTGCTAGAGTTGAGGCAATGATGCAGCAGGTTATTGGATCAAATGCAAAAATGAGTGAAAGGGTAGATGCACATGAATCAGCTATAAAGAATATTGAAGTGTAGATGGGCCAAATTTCGATGTCTTTGAATAATCGTCCTCATGGGACATTGCCTGCAGACACTCAATAAATCCAAAAGATCAAGGCCCGAAGCAGCTGATGGCAGTGAGTCTACGTAATGGCAGATACTTAGACTTGGAGCAAAATAGGGCTCGAGAAAGAAGACAAGCTGAGACACTTGTACCAGTGCCCATTGAGCTAGATGATTCAACAGAACTGACAGAGGTGACAGTACAGCCTGCCCAGGAAGAACCCAACACACAGATTGAGGCTGAGAAAGAAGCTGAGGTAGCCCAGGAACCAGTAGTTGAGGTGGTGCCTAACAAAGAAAATACCCAAATCATTGGGAAGAAGAGACCTCCAGCACCATTCCCGCAGAGGCTGTCCAAGTACCAGAAAGAAGAACAATACAAGAAATTCTTGGAGATGCTAAAACAAATCCAAGTAAATATTCCATTGATTGATGTTTTGAAGGAGATGCCTGGTTATGAAAAAATGATGAAGGACTTGATATCCCAAAAATTCGATTTCCAAGACTTGGCCACAATGACTCTTACTCAAACCTGAAGTGTTGCGGTGACTAGACCAGTTGCTGAGAAGCTGTCAGACCCAGGGAGTTTCACAATTCCTTGCACTATTGGTAACTTTGCTTTTGCCAAGGCACTTTGTGATTTGGGGGCTAGCATAAATCTTATTCCCCTGGCGATCTATAAGAGGTTGGAGATTAGAAGAGCTAGACCCACTTCTATGTTATTGTAGCTGGCTGATAGAACCGTGAAAAGACCCTCTGGTATCTTGGACGATGTGTTGATTCAGGTAGGGAAATTTGTGTTCCCTACAGATTTTATAATTCTAGATTGCAAGTGGATGAAGAAATTCCCATAATTTTGGGAAGGCCGTTCTTGGCCACAGGGAGAGCTCTCATTGATTGTGAAACTGGGGAGCTCAAGATGAGGTTGAACGATGAGGAGATAACATTCAATGTGCAGAAATCTATGAGGTGACCAAGTGAATTCGCCAATTGTTCTCTTATTGATGTCGTGGATGTAATCGTAGAAGCATATGATGAGACGTTGACTATTGAGGACCTTCTTGTTGCATGTCTGGTAAATTTAGATGAGGTGAATGGGGAAGAATTGACAGAATGGGTGCTGGCTTTAGAGGGCAGAGGGTTTTGCGATAGAACACTTGAATTCGAACCCCTGCACTTAGAAAACAAAGAAACTCCTCCAGCCAAGCCATCCATAGAAGAACGACCAAAGCTGGAGTTGAAGCCACTGCCCACCCATCTTAGGTATGAGTTCCTAGGACCTAACTCCATATTACCTGTTATTATCTTATCTAGTTTGTTAGATGTGAAGGCACAACAACTTTGTAGGTACTCAAGGAGTACAAGACTGCCATTGGGTGGATCATGACAGACATTAAGGGGATCAGCCCAGCGTATTGTATGCATAATATTCTTCTGGAAGAGGGGCACAAACCTTCTAAGGAACACCAAAGAAGGCTGAACCCCAACATGAAGGAAGTGGTGAAGAAATAGGTGATTAAGTGGTTGGGTGCGGGAATCATTTCCCCATCTCTGACAGCAATTGGGTTAGCCTGGTGCAATGTGTTTCTAAGAAAGGTGGTATAACGGTGGTCAAAAATGATAACAATGGGCTAATCTCTACAAGAACCATCACAAGCTGGAAATCTGTATGGACTACAGGAAATTGAATCTGGCCACCCAGAAAGACCACTTCCCACTTCGTTGATCAGATGCTTGATAGACTGGCAGGGAGGTCCCACTTTTATTTTCTGGATGGGTACTCAGAGTACAATCAAATCTTCATTGCACCAGAAGATAGAGAGAAGACATCATTCACATGCCCATATGGCATATATGCTTTTCGGAGGATGCCCTTTGGCCTATGCAATGCACCTGCCACATTCCAAAGGTACATGATGGCCATGTTCACTGACATGGTCGAAGACATAATGGAGGTGTTCATGGATGATTTCTCAGTGGTAGGAAACTCACTCGACGAGTTCCTTATAAATCTGACCCGGGTGTTGAAAAGATGTATTGAGACTAACCTGGTACTTAATTGGGAGAAATGCCATTTTATGGTACAAGAGGGCATATTCTTGGGACACCGGGTATCAAGCAAGGGAATCGAGGTGGATCTGTTAAAGTTGATGTGATAGCAAAGCTGCCACTACCCACTTTAGTCAAGGCAATCAGGAGCTTCCTCAGGCATGCCGGTTTCTACCGGAGATTCATAAAAGACTTCTCAAAAATTGCTAACCCTCTTTGTAAGTTGTTAGAAAAAGATCACCCTTTCTTGTTTTCTGATGATTGCAGGGTAGCATTCGAAGAGTTGAAAAAGAGGCTAGTCACAACACCCATCATTGTCGCCCCCGACTGGGAGCAACCATTCGAACTCATGTGTGACGCTAGTGACTATGCAGTGGGGGCAGTGCTGGGACAGCGGAAAGACAAGCTAATGCACCCAATCTACTATGCCAGTAGAACGTTGAGTGGAGCCCAGCTGAACTACACAGTGACTGAAAAGGAGATGCTGGCTGTGGTATTTGCATTCGACAAGTTCAGATCATACCTGATTGGCTCTAAGGTAATTGTATATACTGATCATGCAGCTCTATAGTACTTGATTGAGAAGAAAGAGTCCAAACCGCGCCTGATTCATTGGGTGCTGTTACTGCAAGAGTTCGACCTTGAAATTCGTGACCGTAAGGGCATAGAAAACCAAGTCGATGATCATCTATCATGACTTGAGGGAGCTGAAAACTCAGTTGAGGTTGAGGATATTCTGGAAACCTTTCGAGATGAGCAGCTACTCGCTACAAGCCTTGAGGAAGTGTCATGGTATGCAGACTTTGCAAATTACCTGGCAAGTGGTATAGTTCCCTATGACCTTTCCTCTATGCCAAAGAAACTTTTTTATCGTGACTGCCGCATGTATTACTGGGATGAACCTTATCTGTTTCGAATATGTGTTGACAATATGATCCGGAGGTGTGTCCCCAAGATAGAACAATCTTCTATTTTGCAGGCATGTCACGCATCGGCGTATGGCGGGTATTTTGGAGGAGTCAGAACGACAGCAAAAGTACTAGAAGTCGGGTTCTACTAGCCAATAGTGTTTAATGATTCACATCAATGGGTGAAGGGCTGTAATGAATGATAGCAAACCGTGAACATTTCTCGTCGCCATGAGATCCCCATGAACCCAATTCAAGAGGTTAAAGTGTTCGATGTCTGGGGATAGACTTCATGGGCCCCTTCGTCAGCTCCTTTGGCAATAAGTACATACTTGTTGTTGTAGATTGCGTGTCCAAATGGGTGGAAGTTACAACACTTCCCACCAATAATGTAAGAGTGGTGGTGGGGTTTTGAAGAAGAATATATTCACCCATTTTGGGACCCGAGAGCTATTATCAGTGACGGAGGCACTCACTTCTACAATAGAGCCTTCGAAAAATTATTAGCAAAGTACGATGTACGCCACAAGGTGGAAACCCTGTACCATCCTCAGACCAGTGGACAGGTTGAAGTGTCTAATAGAGAGATAAAGAGTGTACTGACCAAGACTATGAATGCCACAAGAACTGATTGGGCAAAAAAGCTAGATGACGTACTATGGGCTTACAGAACTACTTTTAAAACACCAATTTGTATGTCACCATACAAGCTGTTGTTCGGGAAGGACTACCACTTGCAAGTGGAATTAGAACATAGAGTTTGGTGGGCAATGAAACAGCTGAACCTGGATATTGAGGCTGCCGGCACAACTAGAGTCACAGAATTGTATGAGCTCGACGAGTTCCAATATTGGGATTTCGAGAGCACGAGGCTGTATAAGGAAAAAATGAAGAGGTTGCACGACAAGAACATTTTTGAGCAAAATTTCAATCCCGAAGACATGGTATTGCTTTATAACTCAAGATTAAGGTTATTTTCGGGTAAACTCAAGTCACGATGGTCTGGACCATTTCGAGTGGTCGAAGTATTCCCTTCATGTGCCGTAGAGATTGCCTCAGAGAAAGACTCTCATACATTTAGAGTCAATGGGCAGAGATTGAAACTATATGTGGGCATGACTGAACCAAAGGAAGTGTCAGAGATCCATCTGACTGAACCTCAGAGGTCGAGCGAGCCTTAAATGCGCTTATCTGCGTCGTGCCGCGACATTAAATCAGGCATTGTATGGAGGCAACCCATTGATTTGTTGTAATCATCGTGCCACGACATTAACTAAAGCGCTGGTTGGGAGGCAACCCAATGATAGTTAGTAGTTGTTAATTTTGATTTTGGGAAGTACTAACCAATGCAGGTGAGCTCGAGCAGATGATAAGTCCATCGGACGTGAAAAAACAGGTGAAAAAAATGGAAATTTCGTGCCCAGGAGCACGCCCGCGCTACCCACCGCGCTATAGGCCGTGCATATGGGCAAACATTCTACCTCAGCTTCTCCATCACTAGCGCGACCGCGCTATGACCGCGTTACTGCCCGTACTAGAAGCGTACCCGTGCTAGTGGCCGCGCATATGGCCAAGTACACTGTTTTGACTAGCACGACCGCGCTCGTACCGCGCTACGACCGCGCTAGTTCCGCCTATTAACTTAACATTTTGCTTTACTTTTTTATTTTTTTATTTTTTTTATCCTTTATGTTGTATGTTAATTGTATAAGTTTTATTAACCCCCTCCCCACTCTAACTACTCCTTCCCCTCTTCACTCCCAGATTTCCCCAATGCCAAAATCCCCCACACTCAAACAAAAAAAAACTCCCAACCCTAACCCCATTCTTCTTCAAATTCTATCTTCTTCAAATTCCCTCTTCTCTAAATTCCCAATCCAACTTCCCCAAGGTTCAAGCCACGCTCTCCCCTACTCTTCTTCACTTCTCCCCACATTCTCTCACTACATGTATGATTTCTTTTTGCCATTTTTTTTTTTACAGATGTTCGTTTATTTTTTAATTATGTAGTAGTTTTTTTCTTTTCTTTTCTTAAGTAGAAATTTGTTGTGTATGTTGTAGTGAGTGTGGGTGGTAATATTGGTGGAGTTGTATCTTCACTTAGTGGTTGAATTTGGGGAATTTGTGGTGGTATTGGGGTGCAATTTTGAATTGGGGTGTGAGTATATAATGCCCACAAGGTGTTTGTTTAAATATCATAGTGAGTGTAAATGAGTAATTGTGACCAATTGTGCGCGTGAAGTCTGAGTAGCCGTATTGAGTCACAATTTTTTTGGGCTGTGCTAATGTTATTCCTTTTCCATGTACTATGGCTCCATCTAGGAAACGTCGCACCATAGGTGCCTCTTCCAGCAGTCAAGCTAGATCGTCCAAAGCGCACAGGTCAGCTCTTGCTCGTCCCTTTGATAGTAGCAGGTTTGTCTCTGCCAAGGCTCAAGACTGCTTTGCGGATAAGGCCCCTAAAAAATCGATACCGAAAAGGGGCATAGATATAGGGTCGGTCCAGCTGGGCTACCCTAACTTGTATAATGAGATGGTAAGGCGGGGGTTAAAAATCTTCATTGACGAGCCGGACGAGGGGAATGTGATGGTTGTCCGTGAGTTCTACGCCAATATAAAAGAACATGTGAATGACGTAGTAATTGTGCACAGAAAGGCGTTGGATGACTCTGTTGAGGCTATACGGAGGATATACCAGTTGCCCCCTCCTGTGGATCCATATGAAAACTATTATGAGGGGTATAACAGATCACACACGCAGTGGGAGATGTTCTTTGAAATAATCTGTGTACCCGGAAAGGAAATTTCTGGATGAAGTATGGTCAGAAGTTTCACTCCGCGGCTCTAACTTTTGAAAGGAAGTACTGGTTGTATGTTATCAACAACCTCCTGATCCCATCTTCCAATACTACGGAGGTGAATAGTCCTCAAACGGCTTTGATTTGGTGCTTTATAAATGGTCACAACTTTGACGTGGCCAAAGTGATTCATGAGGAGATGTTCACTCGTTGTTAGCTGAAAAGGTATGGGTTCTTCTTCCCTTCCTTAGTTACTCGACTTTGCTGGGCAGCTCGGGTGCTGGAAAATCTGGATGTGAATGGGAGAGTGCCAAAAGACCACAAGTTTCGAGCAGATAAGGTCACTACTGGGAAGGAGCCGGTGGCAGCGGGTGGTGATGATAGTGGTGAATCTGATGACTCTGAGGAAAATGAGGCTGAGCAGGAGGATGTGAGCCGAGCCATAGGCCCATGAGCAAATTGTAGCAGCTGCAGCGCTATCTAGGACTGCAGCACCATGTGGTGCTGCTCGGGTTACCCAGTTCACAGCTTTGGAGCAGAAGGTGGCTGGATTGCGTACTTCGGTCGTTGACTTGGGTACACGTGTTGACACAGTGGCTGCCCAGCAGGTGAAATCGGAGAAGAAAATATTGGGCTGGCTGAGAGCTCTAGATCGTGCTTGCCATTTGAACCCAGACATGGTCTCCGATCAAGAGTGATCTTTCAGGGAAGTTCCTTTACCTCACTGTTCTTTATTTTGTATGCCATGAGGATATGTCTTCCTTTTAAGTGTGGGGTGGGGGATACTTCAATGTATGTGTGTATATGTAACAACTTGGCTGTTTGGTATTCTCTTTGTTTTTCTTGATTATTTTTGGTGGTTTTGAGTAATAGTCAAATTAGATAAGTTTAAAGTAGGTAAGTTGACTTGTCCTGACGACGGATCTCTTTCGACGGGGTTCTTGAGGGTCTAAGTCGACGTAAAAATCTGAAAAACAGAAATATGTTGGACTCTTCCTGATGACGGATCTTCTAGACAGTTTTCTTGAGGGAAGTAAGTCTAAAGAAAATTCCAAAAAGATTTTTTTGTTTTAGGTAGTGTAGTAACTCCCCCTTGGTTTTTCTTTGGGCCACGGTTCTTTTCCAAGGGTTTTGCTTGAACCGGGTATAGTTAGTTTTTGTTTATTTTGTTTCTAGTTTTTAGTTAGTATTGATGGGCTATGAGCTGTAATAGAAAGAGAAACCCTCGGCGTTGATACACCTGAATACAGTAGACACTAGAGTGTAACACTTAGTCTCAGTGGTTGATTCTTGCTGGAGTGCCTTAAATTGTATGTTTGTAACTGACTTGAATACTCAAACGAGAGTGTCTTGATAAGCCAATCTGGAGTGAGTCATGTGCCATGTGTGTATGAGTTGTAC